TTAGCACGCTTCCTTTTTCCCTGAGTCATCCCGATGGAAGTCATCGCCGAGAAGCCGACGCTCGCCACGGGGTGGTGGGACGTTACCGCAGGAGAGCGAAACGATCGTCTCGACGTTCTTAATATCCTCGTGTCCACTTTCCGCTTTTTTATCTCGCTTCCGATCGATCCTCATATTATCGCCCCCTCCCCCGAGTATCTCGAAAGCTTCGAGTAGTCGATACGATGCTCTTGGAGAATATCTTTCGTTCCTCGATCCGGTTAAAAAGAAGAAAAAAAGAAAATTTAAAAAAAACCTATAAATCTCGTGACGAAGGAAAGAATACAAATTCGTAAATTCTTCTTAATCGTGTCAGAGTTTCTCGCCATCCATCTCGATATTATTTAGGCCCTCGTCACCTTACAAAGCATTTCACCCTTCGAGCTAGAAAACATCTCTTCGGGACTTCTCTCCTTTTTCTTTCTTTTTTCTTTCTTTTTTTTTTTTTTTTTTTTAATAACTTGAACCCTCGTTGGATTAAAGGCTGGGGCCAGAAGCGGAAAGAATGGCTTTGAATCGGTTCGCGAAACGAAATATTGGCGAATAAAGCGGTGAAAAGAAAGAAAAGAGAAAAATGTAGAGCGGAGGGGGAAACGAAGGGCGGAGCGAAGGAACGGATCGAGAACGTGATATTTGGCAAAGGAAAAATAAACGAAAACGGTTTCACGATTAATTAGATCCGTGAAATTGGGTCGTGGCGTGGTGAAACAGCACGCGAACGAAATTCCGTGTTGTTCGCGCTTTTTGTTTCCGAGCGTGGAGTCGGTACACTGTCACTGGATCGCGTAATTTGCATTCGAGGAAGCGTTCTAACTCGAGTACCCTCGCCACATCCTGGATAACGCTCTGTTCTCATTGAACGCGTAATTACGCGGTCGTTTAATCGCCTTGAAACGTTCGCAACGGTGGTCTTTCGACCGTTTGATACACTTAGTCAACTTTAATCGCTTCAAACTTCTTGCTTACTGCGCCACGAATAGTTGGCACTTGCGAGAAATTAATTAATCGTATTAATTTTCGACCGCGAACTTTTTTTTTTTTCCACCAACAATCTAAGAATCTAGAGAATATTCTAAGAATGTTAAAACGTTTCTCTGACAAATTCGTATACATCGACGTTGTGTTCGAGTCGTAAAATCGAGTGGAAGAAGTGTACGTGTAAAAACATACGTGGCTTTTAGCGACGTGATTTCATTTTTTTTTCTTTTTTTTTTTTTTTTTTTACGAGAAACATCCTCGATCATGTCGGTTCGATGATAATAACTTTACTTCTTTTACGCGTGTATCTGCGATCGTTAATGCGTTCTGCTTCCTGACAATTTCACGAAGTGCCTTTTTATGCGGCGTTTGCTGCTATTAAAGCGATGCAAACATCCACGGTCACGAATCGGAAGTTGTATACGCACGAAACATACTTTTCGTAAACGCTTGAAATTTCGATATTTTTCTACGTTATATGCGTAGATTTGTCGCCGTAATAACGTTTATCGAAAGTTGTCATTTCCGATGAAATTTGTTTCGTCGGAAATAAAACGAACGAGTTAACAATTATTATATTATTTCAAATAACAAGTGATATTTGCCTTCTACTTTAATCATTGTTTTCGTATGGGCGTAATTAATATTAAAGAACTTGGAACGAAGATTGATTCAACAAAGATTATTTTATTAACGTTTTCGACAAACAATGAATATTTTCAAATACACGATCGATGATTATATTTTCGGACGTTTCGTAATTAATTTTACGCTTCGAGCATACGTCGAAGATACCGTATTATTGTATAAATTTTCACTCCTTTCCCTTTTATCGCGTTTTTAAAATTACGTTTAAAATTTAGAAAAGCTAGGAATCTGGTAACGTTTAATCATAATTATTTCGAATTATTCGAAAACGTAAAGAGAGGAAAAAAAAAAAAAAAATATTAATTCCGTCTTTTTATTAATCACGAAGTAAATTTGCGAACGAAAAGAAAAGAGGTAGAGCAAAATTACTCGATGCCTAAGAGCGTAAAGCTAGTTTTTCCCGTCCATGATGAAAATTGAGCACGCGTCAGTATTATTAAAGAGAAATTACTCGGAGCCAAATTCTTTGACGAAAAATATCGCGCGCGTGTTGGTTCTAATTATTAATACTCCTTTTCTGTTTTACGTCGAACGAAAGGGGGATTCGTGGTAGATGTATTAATTCGCGCGCGCGTGCGAAATTATATTTAATATTGTTCCCAGCTCAGCTGTTGATATTGACAGCGATGTTTGCGCAAGTGTAACCGCGTTTGCAAATCACGTTGTTCATGTATACACAGAGACACATATTAAAATGCTCGGCCGACCGATCGAGATGAGCAGCCTCGATGGAATTTGAAAACGTGAATCGAATTCGAAAACCGCGATATCAACGATTCCTCTTTTCTTTCCTCTCGCCTCCAGAAGAAAGAGATGTCTCTTCCTGTAAACATGTATCATCGATAACGTATCGTCGCATCTCGATTCCTTCGCGAGATCGAAATTTTCTCGTTCGGCGTATTGGCCAAGTTTGATCGAGATTCGGGGAGATTTCAACCGGAAGATCGGCAAGTTTGAAGTTTGCAAGTTGGGCGGAGACGATATCGGTTAATCAATTGGAATCTATGGAACGGAGAGACGCGCTCGATCGATGGATGGATCGTTCTCGAACGTAACGATCGTGGAAGGGGTGGAAGTAAAGCAAGGGTGGGTGGAGGCCGATCAGAGGCGCGCATCCTGCGCAACACCGATTGGCCGCCGCGACTCTTAATCCTGAAAAATCACCTTTTGGATCGGCCGGCTGGATTAGAGCCGCACGGTTCCGTGCACGGTTCAATCTTCGAGTATATTTCACGCTTCGAGCTTTACATCTGAAACGTTTGTCCATTGATCGGTTTCCTCGATCCCTTTCAAACGTTACAACCGTTCAGATTAATGCGGGATTATCGAACCTAAATCGCGATAAAGAAGAGATTTCAAGGATTTCGAGTATTTTATCGGTCTATATGCAAATGAGAGGTAGGAGTATTAAGGATCTTCGTTGAGAGCGAACGCTTTCAATTTCTTTTTTTTTTTTTTCTTTTTTGCGAAATTCTCAAGAATTAAAAAAATAAAAGAAAGATGAAATTCAATTTACCAGGATATTAAATCTAGAGAGAGGCTAATTTCAATTTCGCGTGAGGAAAAGTTTTTCAAAGTGATTTCCCTTCCATGTGCAAGATGTCCGCCTGTCCACGTCATCCGCGATATCTCTATTTCGAAAGCTGTCGTGCGATAGATCTTTCGATTTGACGCCACTCACTCGATTATATTCCGTATCGTGGATATCTCGTCACGTTATCAAATACGAACGCTTCGATTCGATTAAAAGCGCGTTGCGCCATGGACCGATTCGACGTGAGCATGAATTTTCATGCGGATTTCGCACGCGAGTTGAAAACCGTTCGGGCTCATAATAGACATTGTTCCGCAACAGGTTTCCCCGTAGACTTCACGTGACATCTTCCCTATATGGGAAGGGATACGAGATCGACGCGGCACGTTACACACGACAGGTAGCTGGATTTCACGTTGTATCGCCGAAGAAATGATCGATACGATACTCATCGTAAGTGGATCGTTGAAAATTGAATTCGCAAGGAGGTGACAATCCGTTTTATAAGTAGGAATGCTAAGAATCGTATCGTTTAAAATTTATGTAAAGATTAAGACAAAAAATAATAAATAATTAAAATATCACTCCGTTTAATCACGTATCCAATATTCAAAATACTATCGATGAATATTCTATCGTTGCATCAAAATGAATGTCGATATCCTCGGCGAGACTTTTAAATTAGAAAGAGATAAATAATTCATTCTCTCTCTCTCTCTCTCCGAATATTGATATTATAATTAATTCGATCCTCCAGTAGATTAGGGATCAAATATTAATTTCGTAACTGGCTCTCCTTTTGTTCGATTCGATAATGCGATTCAATACGTATACGCCGCAATACGTATAATTGGTCTCTTTATTTTCACTTACTATTCACATTGCGCGTTTTGTTCGAAATTTTGATTTAGAAATTCGATAATTGATAAATCGTATCGATCTCCCCCTCGATACAATTTATTCTTGATTATATTCGCGAAGCTTGATAAATCGACATAATGCCAATCATCCCCATCGAGCTGAATTATTCCATGCTCGATGAACAGCACGGCACGCATCCCCATTTTTATCTCTAATATCGAATTCAGTATATATGTAATAGGCCATGTAAATTAAAAAATTTATGTAAATTAAAAAATTACGAAGAAGCATCACTTTTTTTGTTCCAACGAAACTTTCCAGTCCTCCCATCTATATTACATCTACATATTACACTTTTTCAATATTCATCCTCGAGTACCACTTCTTGCTCCATCCATCTTTTTGCTTATCTTGAATTTATTGCCTCGTTCCAAGTTTGCTCCAGTACACCGAGCAGCGGGAAAACTCTCCCAACTGTTTCGCGGCCGTTGGATCGTTGTTCGTTATTCGGTATTCGGTGAATTTTTCAACGGTCCACGCTTTGCATTTTGCTCGACAGGATTGGAAGGAAGTAAGTAAGTAAGTTGGGCCTGTGTAATCGATTCTCTCTCGCTTTGCTTCCAAGTAACAAATGTATTTCTTATTCGCATACATCAGGGTCAGAAATCTATACTTAAGTGAAATTTACCTTCTACCTATTACCGAGAGAGAGAGAGAGAGAGAGAGAGAGAGAGAGAGAGAGAGAGAGAGAGAGAGAGAGAGAGAGAGAGGAGAGCGCGGGCTGGTTACGTACGTGGTCGAAAAATTGAAAAATTGAAAAATTGAAAATCGTGGATATTTGTTTTGCGCGGACGAAAATAAAAGGAGGAGGAAGTGGATGGATAATAGATAAGGGAGAATAGAAAAACGAATAAAAAGGGTTGATTGGGAAAATTTACAGAATGGACCATGAAGGAGCGCAGCGTGAGCTGGTAGTAGACGAGCGGTCGTCCTCTCGGTTGGCGGCTGGACGGTCATCGACGGGATCCTGCAACGCTGAATCGTTCACCCTGCGGGTGTTGGCCACGGCAGGTACGAAGTCGACAGGTGCAATAATCGGGGGTGACCCGGTTGTTGCCGCCGGGGCGGCGATGCGACGATGAGCTCGCTGAGGATACCGCTATCTCTCCACACCCGACCAGAGGTTAGTTAATCCCTCGATTTCGCCTTCGTCTCCTTTCTTTCTTACCCTTTTATTTTTCCCCCTCCCTCTTACGATATATAATATATCGAACGAATTGATGGAATGGTTTTGCTGCGCAGCCCCGAGTAATAATAGGAAGGCGGCCGGGTCGGCTCGCGAGTCGTCGCAAGGTCGAGCACAGAGGAGCGGAAGCCGGTTCAAGGCCGATATTAGTCGCTTGGCCATGGACCTCGAGGCGAGGAACGGGACCGGTGGTAACGAAGAGGAATACACGAATATTTATTTCATGGTTGGGAATCGCAGGGAGACGGCCACCTACAAAGCGGATCAGGTCACGGACATGGAGCTTAAGGGCAAGTCCATTTAATTAATCGATCCTTTGATACAACTCGGAAACTGCTTGTTGCCATCTTTTTTTTTTTTTTCTTTCTCTCTTTTATCGGCTGGATGACGTTACGTTTATTAATTTGAAGGAGAAGAGTATTCGGTTCTATTTTTATTTTTCTTTCCCTGTCTTTTTTTTTTTTTCCTTTCTTTTTCAATCGCTTGGCGAGCAAACTCTCCCGATATTCATCGACTCGATTATATGAATATTTAATGAAAAATATTATTACCGCGTTATGCGGTATTTCTCGTTAATAGGAAATACGATACGAATTACGAGGAGAGTGAATTATAATTGATTCGCAAATTTTAAATTAGTTTGTTGACGCATTTAATAAAAATAAATTTAACTCGTGCGCCCCCTCTTGATTATTTTTTTCGTCGAATCTTGCGCTCTCGTTGACAAATTTGTTAAAAAATGAAAAATGTTCTGTTCGGTATATCGGCGACCTTCGAGTAACGTAAATTATCGGCATCCTGTTCGGTTCTTCTACGAACGGTACGGGAAAGGGTCTTTGTAAGCACTAGCGAAATTATGTTTGCACATACTTCGAACCATGACCTATCGACCGGAGAACGTCTCCCGAAAGTAGCCTCCGAGGATCTAACTTGCCAATCAAGCTTGTTTCACCTTCTCCCGTGCGTTGGACGACAAAGCAAACAGGGATTTATGTCCAGTTGCTTGTTCGAGCCAATACCTCAGGCGAAATCTCGAGGATGCTATCCAAAGCTTTCGAGAGCTTTACGAGATATCGCTCGGTTCCAAAGTTATTCGCCTTACGTATCTTTTTTCTTTTTTCTTTTTTCCCCTATATCCGAGTTGGAATTACTTTCAAAAATAAGAAGGTGTGTAGAAGGCGAGTTCGTCACATTTAATTGCTCGCCATTAGCGAAATCGAATATTTATCGAGGTAGCTAACGATATCTAGCAATATTGTTTTAACCGTACACTGTTTTCCTCTTAAAAAGAAATGCAATTTCTAGTTCTATAAATGTTTCGGATACCTCTCCTCGAAGGTAAAAACTGAAACCGCTTCGTTGCAAACTTAATTATTTATCGTAAAGAGTTTTAATATTATCCGAGACCCTTTTAGACAATATTTCCATCCCACGGTGTTCCTCGAGGAACACGCTATAAAATTTCAATGCGAGGAAAAATGTTGCGGAAAATGTAAGGAGCATCAACAATTTTTTTTTTTATTATATTACAAAAAAAAAAAAAAGAAATTAGTCAATTCCTCGTAACGTAAATTTGTTGAAACGCTCCTAGTTTTCCTTATATTTTTTAAAATACTTTTTCGGTCTCTTCTTTCCTCGTTTTTATCTCTCCCCTTTGTTAACGTTTGCATTCTCTCTCTTCTAGCGAAATTTGTTTAATCGTAACGAGGATACGTTCCTTCCTCTTTCTCTTTGCAATCTTACGAAACTCATTTCGCTGGTTAATGGAAATTATAAAGTTTTCCTCGGTACTCGCTTACCAAGAGTTTCGTTAATTTCACTGCCGCTATTTTACGACTACGCGTATTTATCGTAGTTGCCGATGTTAAAATGATTCGCGATAGCTAGTGACGCGTTTCAATCTTCCATTCGACGAATTATGAAAATTAACCCGAGTGCAGTCGTTAGTCGATTTTACGCTTGTTTCCTCGTTACTATCTTCATCTATTTAAACCACGTGCAACTCGATACAGCGATCTGGCATCTGACGCTCGAGATCGTGGTGAGCACACGGTTTCTAAAGGCAATAGACCGTCTAATTGCAAGTTGTTACGCAATTTTCTTCGTGTTTACAAGCTTTATGTTTTAGGTGTCTAATTATCGTTGTAATAATCTAACGGAATTAACTTGGTAACGTATAAAATCTATGCGTTTGAAACGTGGATAAATTAAAAAGCGATATGGATATAAATACGTAGTAATAAAGTTATATAATTAGAAAAGTGATTGGAAATTATGCGAACGCGAATGAAATTGTCTCTAATGCCTGGCCATTGCTAGTGCAATTCACTTAAATATCAAACTGTTTTTATCTATTCCTCGATATTAATGCATTTTTCCCTCTTATTCTATCAGGGATCAAACGATAAAATTATCACATGTCACGCGCACAGGGAAAGACATAAATACCGTCAAAAAATTGTTTAAGAAATTACGCAATTTTATACATTCGAGATATCCCTCTCCTCTCAATTGGAGAGGATATAACATTGTATTGTACAAATTTCTGTCGTCTGATCATTCCTATCCTAGGTCTACTTAAGGGACGCTATTCGATTCCTCGAATTATTTCTAATTCGATGATGATGATTCTGTATTTTGAATCGCAAGAAGAGCGAACTCGCGTCAAAGTGCATCGCGTAATGGAGGATGATAATGGTATTACAATTTATATCGTAAGTTGGTTAGTTGGAAATTGTTTTGCCGTCACGCCACGGAGAGAGCATTATAAAAGGGTACACGTGAAACGGAAATGGTTCGTGTCAAAAACTCTCTGAGTTCGCCGCAAAAAGTCTTTGTGTCCACGCCACGCGATTCTTTTCGTCGTTCTTTAGCCTTGTTCCCGAATTCGTGACAGAGAATCTTGAAAGGAGACGGCTTGAAAGAAATCCCTTTATCGATTTTCTCTTCTCTTCGAGTTCCTTGCGCGTGATCTTGTGAAATACATCTTGTACAAATACACGATCGATCGATTAATTCTACTTGGAATTCTACTTGGAAAATATCGATATTTCTCTCCCTTTTTTCTCTTCTTCTTCTTCTTCTTTTTTTCTTTTTTTTTTTTTTTTTTGAATTCAAACACACGCTACACGAGTTTACGACTCATGTTATACATAAATTTAAAGGAATGAGATTATACGAATGATTGTCATGTATCATGAATGAAGCCTAGATAGGAGGCTCTGACGTTCATTCATGTTATATTTTAAAACTTTTATGCGTATCTCTCACAAATATTATCGTTCATCTGTGAATAATTCGTAAGTCAGAAACGTCATGGAATATTTTTCAACGGCGGGACTGATTTTCATTGTTCACGCCACGCACGTTACGATAGTAATTTAAATTTCTTTGCCGAATATTATCGTTAGAATTCCCTTGTTCGCAAACAAAATTTGCGAATGGAATAGGAAAAAGGCGTGGAAAAAGAAAAGAATCGAAACAACGTTCGTTCCACAAGATCAATAATAAGAAATTTCGAAATTTCTATAATCGGTTCTTGGAATCGCCATCGAAATCCACCCTCCGATTCTACGATTCCCTTTCCGCTAAATTTCAACCCAAAGCCTGGGTGATTACAACCCTCGTTTTTATCCCCCGAATTCACCGATTATCCTTTCGCATTGGTTCGCCGTGTGACGGCCACGATTCATGATCAAGCCCCGTTACGACGCTCGCAATATAAACCTGTAATAGACTGATCATTTAGATCTCACCCCTGTGTCGCGCCGCGCCACCCTCTCTCGTCCACGCGAAATTTCCGAGGCGAGCTCCGTGTTGCCGATATATATTCTTCCTTCTAGTTAATTAGAAAGCTTTTCAACGAGGTCGCTGGTCGTACGGCGAAAAAAATATGCCAACGAGACGCTTTGACGAGAATCGATATCGTTCGTAAGGGTAAATTGACCCTTATTGTCTGCTCACCGTCACGAAATTCTCGTTCTCTCGAAACGAACCATTGAAAATAAGCCTCCCTCGTTGCTTTGAACGTTGAATTTTATTTTAAATTCTTTTCTTTTTTTTTTTTTCCCCTCTGCTTTTTGAAAAGAACAATATTACGAATTTACGAATTACACTCGATATAAGATAGAACGGTAATTCGGAATGAATAGTTAATGACACGGTTAATTGATTTGTTGCATATCGATGTAATAAATTGATTATTCTTAATTAATTACAAGCTTGTCAAAATTATTGTTTCACCGATACAACAATCCGTTCCGCGAGATCAGTTCGCATTTACGTACGTTTCCAATTATTTACACTTTCACTTGTAATCTTTTTTTTTTAGAAAATAAAAACGGAATATACATATTCCGAATTAACAAGTATTTATATTTTAACGAAACGTGGAGCTCAATGGAGTAAAAAAAAAAAAAAAAAAAAAAAAGGAAAAAGAAGAAAAATTATTCCTCGCGATAATTAACGCACGGTATCACGGCTATATCATACTTCCACTCGACAATTATAATGGAGAAACTTGTCTCTACTGCTTTAATGAGTCCAACAAACAGCTGGATTCTCATGGTCATGTTGAATTACCTTTGCATCAGCCTCGGGAAATATATTTCCACGATTCGTTGTTCCGCTCGTTAACGAAAATTCTAAATTATAGGGAGGGGGGAGGCCTCGTGTCATACGTTAAAATCACGGGCGAAACGAGGCAGAGGATTTTCTGGAACGACGACAATTGACGACTTACGAACAAATTTACATATTACATATTTATTTCTCTTAACGAAAAATTTAACGATAAAATTCGTTGTATCCATTTTAAGATATCGCCCACGGCGTAAATTATATATATCGAATAGTAGAAAGCTCGTTCGAGAAAAACGTGCTTTTCTTTCCGGGAATTCAGACGATTACGATCTCTCGACTATTTACCCCGGACACGAAACTCGACGAACTCGTGGAGTGTACGCTTGCGTATAATACGATAATCGACCGATCGATCCCTGAACGCGTGCAGAAACGAGAATACCGATTCTTCTTCTTTCGTTAGTTTCCGCTCACGATGGATTCGATACGTTCACGTTCGTAACCTCGGCCTCGTATTAAATCAAAACGCGACTGTCTGCCTTACGCAGTTCGGTTGAACGTAACGCGCATTCAACGGATAGGTAATTGCGATTTGTGTCGATGGAATTGTAAATGGAATTTGTAACGTTTAATCGAGGCGAATTAAAATTGTTGAAATTGGATAAGAAGTTCGAATCGGGATCGAATTTTTTTTCACCCCGCGGTTGTA